TCGCTGGCCCGCGCCGCCCTCCCCCTCCCCGGCCAAAGTTTATCCAGACCCGCTACCCTCTCCGGACGCCCTGCCCTTCCACGCTGATTATATGAAGTCGGGGCCGGGCGCGCGGCGCGAATGCAACGCCGTGCCGTCCCTCTCACTCTGTACCTCGATCTCCTTTCTCTTATACTTTCCCTTATTTCTCTTTTACCCTTCCTCTTGGCTCTCCTTGCTACTTTTCCATTTTCCTCCAAACCATAAAAATTAATGTTTCTGCACCACACACTGGGATTGGGGCGCGCCGCCTCCCCCGCCCCCACGCCACCCCCGCCGCTCCCCTCCCGACCAGACAACCCGAAATGGTACCGCACACACGGCAATCTGTGTAGCCCTTCGCGCCTCGCCAGACAGGGAGAATACCCGCCGAAAATTTATCGTTTCGCAAAAGCACGACTCGGACCAACAGAAAAATAAATGAAAACCGCGCGGTGTTTTACTTCGACTTCCTTTCCAAAAGACAAACAGATAAATCCGGGAAAGCACGAAATCGTATCAAAAGTCGATGGGATTCCTCCGCTTGAGGTGTGCCGCGGGGGAGGCGGAGGGGACAGGCTTGACGGCGGCCCCCGGGCCCCCTCCGCACCGCGCTCCCCCGCCACCCCAACTATTTGTCCCGAGAACTGCCTGTATAGCCGCTCTCCACAAAAACGTCGAATGTGCTGTGCTCTGCTTGCGGGGCAAGTTGGCGGCCGGGGGCGGGGCGGGGGGCCCAGAGAGTCCTGGAGGCAGACATCGAATGCTAAAGGGGGAGAGAGAGAGAAAGAAAAAAAAGGAGACCAGGGCGACTGACGCGGCAAGTTTTCCAATACCCAGCCCGACCGAAAGCTGTTTGAACTTCTCTAGCCGCTTGGCGCGGCCCGCGCCTAGGCCAGGTCCTGTAAACCTGAGGGGGGATGGGACGGAGCGGGCCATGCAAACGCGGCCAGAACAATGTCGCCCATTCGAAACAGGTCAGGCGGCGCCGCGGCCCTGGCCTCCCTGGCACAGCGTAGCACAGCGGAGCGGGGCGCTCAGTTTTATCCCCCTTTCCTGTCCCTGCTGACTCGCAACGGTCCCGAATGCAGCGCGCGGTGCCCCCCGCCCCCCGTGCAGAAAAAAGGGAACAGCTTTCTCTTGCATTGATAATCTAAATTCTTCGGCTTTTTTCCGTCCCCATGAAAGACAAGTTGCAAAAGGGAAATTCTTGTTGGGGGCCATGGGGGCTATGGTCGGGTACGGTATTCTACTACTTCTACAACAACAACAGGGGAGAAAAAAAACTGGCCGGGGGAAGAGTCGCCGCCAAACAAGGGCGGACGGAACTTTCTTCTGCTTCTTCTTCTGCGCAAGCGTTTCTTTTCGCGTCTCTCAAACCACTTGTACTGCACTCCAGTTCGCCCGCCCCGCGCTCACCCGCGGCTCGGAAGAAGTGGCCGCTCCCCACCCCCGCCCCGCCCAGCAGCCCCCGCTATAGCTCGGGCTGGGTAATTGATTAACTGCGAGTTTGACTACACGTTTGATGCGCATGAGGGAGTAGAGGTTGGGAGGGGCGGGAGGGGCGCGAGAGACTATAGTGAGAAGAAGCGCGCGCGGGGGAGGAGTGAGAATGCTGATTGGAAAATTAGAAAACTGGGGGAGCAGGAAGAAGGGGTGATTGGGTTACGGCCGGCCTGTTCGCATTCGCCACCCGGACGGGTCGCGGCGGGGACGCGAGCGTTTATAATTATCAACGGCGGGCGAGGAAGGGGCGGGGCAGGGTGAGGTGGGGGCGGGGCGGCCAATCGTGGTGAGAATGAAAAGAGGCCCAAGTTGAGTGAATGAAAGGGGCGCGAGCTTCTTTCATCGAGTTGGGATAGGATGGAACCTCAGGCATCGGGGCCGAGCGGTCCCGCCCCGCCCCGCCACCTCCTACAACTTTATTTCTTTTCGACTCTCCGCGTTTTGTATCCACCACGTAGCTTCCCTATCTTTTCCCTATACCCTCTCCTCACCTTTTTTTTTTTTTTTTTCATTCCCTCCAACGCCCGACCACATTTTTTCTGCATTCATTTTCACGCGCGCCCAGTGGACGTGGACACACAGTGGATACCCGCGGCGCCGCCAGACCGCCGCCGGTTGACCATCTCGCAAATCGAATGTAATCGGATCACGGTGGCGCGCATTAATCTCTGCTCTGGCCTCTAGGGGAAGGGGGGAGGGGAGGCTGAGCGCGGGCTACGGCGGGCTCTCCACAGCAGCGGAGGCGCCCAGATCGCCCTCTCATGTCGCAAATAAACACACACACATGCAATCCCGCCCCACCCCAACCCCTTCGCAACCCCCAACCCCTCTATACGGTTCATATATACGGCAATATTTTGAAAATCCAGGGCCGGACGTGTCAATATTGGCCAGGGCCGCGGGCCGCGCGCGGGTCGTTCGTACCGCGCGGCGTGTTCCCCGTGATGGAGTGTCGGGGCGGGGGCCGCCCCACCTCGCCCCGCGCCCCGCCGCGTCCGGAGCGGACGGACACGGCCGAGCGACGCGATCGCCCCAAAGAAATGTAAAGTGAGCTAATGTTTGCCGTGCGTGATGGCGGCGCGGGGTCCTTGTGCTGCCGCCGAGAGGACGCGGAGGACTGGAGGAGGAGGACGAAGGACCCGCATACCGGATGAACCCTTCTGATCTGCTTCCCGCGGGGAATGTGAAGCGGGGCGGCGGGGGCGGGGCGGCGCGCCGGGCACTCTGCGAGCCTCTGGCCCCCCTGGCCCGCGCGAAGCCCCTGGCTGTAGCGACGAGCGCATAGTGGCGCTGAGAGTAGGGGAGGGGAAGACGACGGGCACCACCGTCGTAGGGTAGGGCACCGGCCGAGGAACGCGAAAATTGAATACGAAGGAAAAGAAAAAGTAAACAAAAAAACACACACTGTTGTTCTCCTCCACTTTCTTCGCATAGCTGTGGATGGAGAAACGCGCATATGCTAAGTCATGGGCGCAATGCAATCTAACATGAAGGGTAAAAAAATTGGTGTGTGTGTGTGTGTCGGAACGCCTCTACAGAGAGCGCGCACGGGTGTGTGTGCAACAAGCCGACGGCCTCCTTAATCCCATTTCTCGCTCAGCCGCAAAGCGGCGTGGAGCCGCAAAGCGGCGTGGTGTGTGCCCCGTGCCGCCAGCACAACTCGCGCTCAGCATGCAAAATCATTTTTCAAGTTAAAGTTGCAGTTTAATCATTTCTACCACCCCATGCGGCCTGCGGCACGCTTGCAAAAATCTTGGTGTACGCGCCGGAGTTTCTCTTTTGCTTAGGGCTGGGGCAGGAGGGCGAGGAGGGGTAACAATTTCACGCGGCGGTGGGTTGCGGCAGGACCCTTTGCCCTTACCTTTGCACTCGTTGGCGTCCTTGGCGGTGGCCCTGGCCCACGGCCTGTCGAAGTGGAAGGGCTTGCAGCGCTCGCACTCGCGGCCCGCCGTGTTGTGCCTGCACTCGCACGTCAGCTGCCCCGGCTGGCCGCCCTGGCCGCCGGTCGTCGTGCAGCGCGACGCGTGCCCGTTGCACTTGCACCGGCCGCCGACGGCGAAGTCGCTGACGGCGTAGTGCGACATGCTGATGGTGGTGGTGGCCGTGGTGCCGAGGGCGTTCATATCGTCGCCGTGCTGCTTGTACTTGAGCGAGGGCTCCATGGCCTGCGGCTGGTCGCGCTGCGTGTTGTTGTCCTCGTCGTCCTCGTCTTCTTCTTCCTCGCTGAAGGACGGTGTGGTCGGGGCCGCCCTGCCGCCCAGGCTGCCGCTCAGACTGCCTCCGAGTCCCAGGCTGCCCAGGACGCCGCCGGCGCCGTAGAAGTTGGACAGCACCTTGGCCTTGCCCGGCGACACGGGCACGGGGCCCAACCCTGCGGCCCCGTCCTTCTTCGGAGGCTGCGGCTCCGAGAACAGCGAGTCGTCGGGGTCGTCCTGGAACAGAAATGGGTGGGTCGTCAGCGCTCGGTGGCGTGCCTCAGAAGCGTAACCCAGCCGAAAATTCCGGCTGGGAACGCCTGGGAGGTAGGCCATGGGTACGCACCCCTGCATGGCATGGCGGAGGGATATTGCCTACGCACTGGCGCACTTGGAGCGCAGACCCACTCCCCACTCGTGCCGTAGCGCCTTGGAGGTAGGCAACGGTCGCGCGCCCCTGCGTTGCGGAGGGATATTGCCTACGTACAGGGGCACTGGAGCCCAGCAGGCACCCACTCGTACCGTAGCGCCTGGGAGGTAGGCAACGGTCGCGCACCCTTGCGTTGCGGAGGGATATTGCCTACGCACAGGCGCCGGCCCCGATCGGCGAAGCAGGCGTAGATCACGCGGGGCGATTCAAGCCGGAAAGGAAAAGCCCGGTGCGATGTCGAATCAAGATGGAGGACTTGATTCCGTTGCTAGGGACGGGATTCAGAGTTTCTCGCTGAGGTAGATGTGAAGAGATCCGGATCGGGCTCGGATCGGGAGCGCGGGCACGGCCCGGCTCCGCGCAGCTCCGCTCGGCTCGAAACCATCTAATAGAGGCTTTGTTAGTCGCAGTCAAAGGGCATCTCGGGAAACTTTCCGTGTCCCTGGCCAAGCAGGGGATGGGAGGAGGGCTCACGGAGGGCCAAGAGACGGCAAGCGGGCTTGTAGCGTCTTCCAAGTGGATTTAAATGATGGTGCTCCGTAGCTTTGCCGATCGGGAAAGCAGGGCCAGGCACTAAGGCATGCCAAGTTTGGAGTGTTGGGCGGTCCAGGCGCTGTTGTTGGAGCCTGAGCCACCGCCCTGGTCTCGAAGACCAACAAGGCGCTCCCCGTATTCTCCTTAGCCGTGCTCCCGCACAGTGTCCTGTGCCCTCTGGCCTCGTACAGTCGACGTCCTCCATCCGAGTCGTTGAACGCGCTGAACCCTACCGCGCCGCTCCACCCGCCCCGGGCCCGGGGGACCTGGCCGGGCGCCTCCTCTCTACCGCTCTCGCATCTCTCGCATCTCTCGCGCCCTCTCTCTCTCCCGTGCCAGCCGCGCCATAGAGTGGCACACTCCAGCGGCCAATTCCGAGTGGCATAATGCTTGCGTTTCGCAAATGAGCGTGGTATTCTCCGAGACATTTTCATCCCCCAGCGCGCGGCGCTCCCCTCGCGGTCCCACTAGACTCGCCCTCGCGCGCCCTCGCTGCCGCCCCGCGCCCTGCCCGCCCTGCCTCCCCCCGCCCAGCCAGGCAGCCAGCCAGCAGGATTTGCTTGCCGTAATCCCACCCTGACGCCCCCTGTACAAATCGCGTACACAGTTTTAACGAGGGTCAGATTATGCCCCTCTGCAGTATAGCGGCACCGCGAGGCCGCGAGGGGACCGGCGAGCCCACCCAGCCGAGGACCACCACCTCCACGCATGGAGCAGACGGGCCCGCGGGGCGCCTCGCCTCGCGAACGGGGAGGCGCGGGACAACAGCCGGCAGGCAAGGAGCGGCAAGGAGTGAATGAAGAGCAGAGAAAGGTTACGCGAAGCAGCGGGGAGGAGGGGCGGGGGCGCGAGGCCCGAGTGAGCCCCGGACAAACTGGACTGTTTATTAAACTTTCATTTCCTCCCCGGCGCAAAAACAGGGGAGGAAAGGACAGCGGGGGAGGGTGCGGCGGATAGGAGGAGCCAAGGGGAGGTCGGGAAAGGAAGTCCTCACCTCTGGTTTGCCCTTCAGGACGATGATGGCAGAAGACGCTACAAAGTCCGAGGGCAAGGCAACAAAACGTCAACCCACCAGCTTCAACGGGAAAAAAATTATAAATAAAAAACAACCTCCCCCTTCCTTTCCGTTGAACCTTCGCCGTTCTTCGTCGGCCTTCTCCGCCCTGACGCCCCTCAGAGTGTGTCTGCAGGGTCACAACTTCATGGAGTATAAACGACGCCGTGTCTACCACGCTCCCCTCTGGGGAAATTGACATCCAGACCTTTCAATTTCGTTGAACGCCCACATTGATGCCACGCGTGTGCTCTGGCAGAAAATTGAGTATAAGGTGCGTGAAAGAGATTATGCTGCGTTCTCATATGCCAATGTGTATATTTGTTGATATATTTTCGTAGATATACAAATCAGAGATCCCGTCGTAGGTCATCAAACCTAAGCCGACCGAGATTTCGGGTGACTAGACTGACTACTTTCTTGAATTATGGACTGACTTGTTAAGATATCACTTGTTACACTTGTGACACTTGTTAAGATATCAGGTGGTTTCAATCTTGGCTGAAGCCATGGTTTGCACCAAAAGTATGTGTAAATGTGACTCACCTTAGGGAAGTAGAGGCGGTTGAAGACGACCTTGACGTCGGTGGCGGTAACCCAATCCTGCAGCACTGGTGAGTAGTCAAAGTCCGCGGCGGACGGCCGGCCCTCGAGTGTGCTGAATGCGATCCTGGAGGCCATCGAGCTCCCGTCGGTGCACAGGGCCTCCTGCTCGTTGGCGCGAGTGATGGTGGCGCGGTTGGGCCGGCCGTACACGCGGCGGCACTGCGACGAGTAGAAGTGCCACGGCTGCCACGTCTTGCCGTAGTCCATGGACTTGTAGATGGCCAGCGAGTCGGGCTTGACGGCGCGTGGGCAGAACTGCAGGCTGACGTACGTCAGCTCGTACTTCTTGCCCAGGCTGAGCGTGAGGCTCACGTTGTCCGGCGGCGCGGAGCTGGACGCGGGCGGCGGCTGCGGCTCGGACCGCCAGCACGTCACGTTCGAGAGGTTGTTGAGGTCGGTTAGGAAGGAGGCCGGGTATCGCCGCTTGGGGTTAGTGTCGTCACAAATGTGGCACAGCGCGTTGGCGTTCGGCGTGGATGTCGACGGCGCCGAGGCCGCCCCATCCGGAGTGCTGTCACAGTAGCGCACGGGCCCCGACATGCCGCAGGTCGACGACGCCTCCACCGGCTTGCCGAAGGCCGCGTTCACGAAGTCGGGCATGCAGCGCTTGGGCTGTTGCGACTGCTGCTCGTCGTAGCAAGGGTCCGGGGGCGCGCTCGAGATGGCCGGGAACATCTTGAGGAAGTTGTCAGGCGGCGCAGCCCAGGCCAGGGGCGTCAGGGACGCGGCCACCGCCACCAGCAACACAGCGGGCACGCGGGCCATCGCGCGGGGACCGCGGGGACGGGCACCTGCTTTCAAACTCACTGCTCACATGGCACCGCACGCTGCGGCACACCGTCACACCGTTCGGCACGGCTCGTCACGCACTGCCGTCACACACTGGGCTCGCGCGTGCGTTCGCGTCGCTCGCCGTGCTCGCGCCGGCGCCGGTTCGTGCGTGTTGCGCGTCGCGTCGGGTTTCCGGTACGTGATCTCTCCGTCTGGAATCGGCTCGGCTCCCGGCTGCGGACTGAAACTGGACTGGCGCGCGACCGGAGCGCTCCGCCCGCGCTCGCCGCGAGAGGGTGGCGGCGGTGGCAGCGCGTAGCGGCGCGGCGGGGTGGTAGAGGAGGGGCGGAGCGGAGGGCGGCGGGGCGCACCCCGCAGGGCCCGCAGGCACAGGGTCCTGGTCCACCTCCTCCCGGCCCGGCTCCAGGCAGGGGCGCGAGCTCCAGCCGCCCACCATCCAAGAGCCGCGGTGTCACCGCCGTCTATCCCCCGTCTCCTGGCACCACATCTCGTAGGCATCCACGGGGAAGTTCCAATTCACTTCGATCGTCAACCACCCGACCGGCTATGTTTGCAAGTGCTGGAAATCAAAAAGTGAGGTCGTCTTTAGTGTTATTTGAATTTCCCACCGCGGCTTTCCGATCTACAAGATTCTCATATTGACAGGACAACCGCATGACAATCATGGCCGACGTGGCGAATACGGCCGTACGTCAAATTCAAAATAAATTGCTGGAATGGGAACAATCGGAAAATTCTTTGGCACCTTTAAGTTTGTCACAAAGAAATGCCATCTATGAAATATCTGAAGAAGTCAGTGTCCGGAGTGTTCCTACAAATGTAAGTCTAGAGCCCATTCAGTTACATTCCAGATCAGGTTATGTTTCTCTGTTTATCAAACTAAATATTTGTTTTGAAGTAAACTTACACTCATGTCTTCTTACTTTACGTTTTAAAATTGTCACAATTTTATTTTTTCGTTGAATTTTTCTCAACTTTTATCGCCATTACCGTTTTAAAAAATGTTCACCTGTCATTTTTCATTCGTTAACCAAAGCAATTACTTTGTTTAAGTTTTCTTGTTCGACTTTCCATGAATACACTTTCACTCAAATAATTTAAATTTTTCAAATTATTTATCTCACTATACTCTGTGTTTATTTGAATTTTACTTCAACAGTTACCCGAGGGAAATTTGGCTGCACTAGACATAAAAGATAATTCTGAAGATGAAAAGGAAAAAGAAAGTATTTCAAATACTAATTTATCTTCAGAAAAATCGGTATTCCCTCTTAGACCAAAAAATATTTCAACCACCCATGATGTAAGTAGTTATGTATATTTATTCATATTAAAACACTGGTTTACTCACTCATACAAGACACTGTGTTCAATCTGAGTTTAGTTTCTGGAATGGCACTCCAGTGTTGAAGAGCAACTTGAAGATCAAACCAATGCTGTATTCATCAGCTATTTGCAGCAGATGACTCTTAGAAGACAAGAATGTGATGAACTATACAATCAGGTTAGCAAATAAACCAATGAACGGCTACATTTCTGTTCTGTTCTATCAGCTATTTATCTTCTACTCTTTTAAAATTATATTGTGTTAACCTACTTTTCTCTTTGGAGGTGGAAGCATGTCTGAAAGATCTTTCTCAACTAAGCAAACAGCATCAGACAGTTGCAAACAGTACAAACTCTTTGCATCAAGTTAGTGAGCAGTTGCTTGCTGACCAGGTATTAATTTAACACTGATACAAGGTTTTCCTCTCGGAGAAAATGCAAACTTTCAATTTATTCTGACTTATTTCTTGCAGATGAAGCTTAGTTCAGTTCATTCTGAAGTGGAAAGGAGACTACAATATTTCAGATCTCTTGATAGAATTTCACAGCGACTGGAATCTCCAACTCTCAGTATCAACAGCACAGTATTCAAAGAGTGTTTGGACCGACTCGATGAATGCATTGAATATATGGCAACACATGTAAGGCCTTAAGTTATTAGACTTTTCTTTTTCTTTTTAGTAATTTTTGTGGTACTAGATTATAAATTATTGATGTTTGATTAACAAAACAGGAAAACTTTAAAGAGTCAAGAGTATATTTAGCCAAGCTGCACCATTGTCAATCTAGAGCTGTTGCGCTTGTGAGGTCATATGTCACACAAATAATGCAAACTGCTACTCAGCAATGCCTCGCTGCCCCAGTTTCTTCCTCTGATAGCTTTGCCGCGTCTGGAGGTAGTATCATTCCAGCAGCAGATTCCGATTTTGCTAGATGTTATGGAAAATTCCAGGCCTGTGCCCCAAGAATAAGAGCAGTCTTAGGTCACATTGAAGAAAGAGTTGAGAAGGTGGCCAAAAGTGGGTAGGTATTGTTTTATAGATTATGCTACCAGTTCTTTTAAGTTGCCTTGGTAAAAATTCGCAACTAATACTGTTCTTTAATTTTGGTTTTAGGTATGAGCAACTTCTTGTTGATTGCCAGGCATGCTATGTAGAACAGCGCCACCAACTTTTGTGGTCCAGTGTGTGCAGTGCAGTTAGAGAATTGTCTCAACGGCATAAAGGGGACCATTGCACAATGGTTCGATCTGGTTGTGCATTCTTATTGCATATTTGCCAGGATGAGCATAGACTATTTGCTGAATTTTTCAGAACCCAGGTTCAAGCCCAGTTAACGTAAGAGCTAACCATTTTCTCCATGATCAAGAATATTATTGTTAAGATGCTCAAAGCATAACATTGATTTTCTCTTTTAGGGACTACCTGGAAGGGTTGTGCACAAGTTTGTATGATGTTTTACGACCAGCTATCATTCACATAAACCATTTGGAAACTTTGGCTGAAATCTGCTCAATATTACGAGTAGAAATGCTTGAAGAACATGTGCCAGCAAATCGTAAGAAGATTAGAGATTTTTTAAAAATTTAAACTTACAGCAAATTTGCATATTACAGTCAGTGTTGCACTTTGTTTCAGCTGGACCATTGGAGGCGTTTGGTCGAGTTGTTTGGCAACTGCTGCAGGATGTGCAAGAGAGATTAGTTTTCCGTGCTCATCTTTACCTTCAATCAGATATATTGAATTACAAGCCAGCTCCAGGTGATCTTGCTTATCCAGAAAAACTTGAGATGATGGAGGTAACCAAGATATTACTGTATTGCTCAAATTTCTTCTGTAAATCAATACTTATCGTCTAAAACTATTTTATTTATTTTTAATCTTTTTTTAGAGTATAGCACAGTCAATAGCTGAGCAACAGTCACAACAATCAGGAAAATTACGTCGATCCGATTCTCGTTCTTCACTGGCCTCAGTTGGTTCTGCCACTTCTCAAGAAGTAGCAAACATAAATCATGCTGTTGAGCAGCCTCGTTCTCGAACTGGAAGTAAGTGTTTTAATAAAGCACCAAGAGGCCGTGTTTGAAGCATAAAGCATATCAAAAGGAAGAAAACATAATCTTGGATATGATTTCTAGTTAAAACATCTTCTGACATATTCTTTTAGATTCACCCGCCGACCTACATGGCATGTGGTACCCAACAGTTCGCCGGACCCTAGTCTGCTTATCTCGGCTTTACCGTTGCGTGGAAAGACCTATTTTTCAAGGGCTTTCACAAGAAGCCCTTAGTATGTGTATGCAGAGTGTGACAGCAGCTGCTGAAGCTATATCCCAAAGAAAAGTAAGTATAGTAAAGAGAAAATTCATACCTGAAATGAATCTCCCTCTATAATGTTGTATCATAATTTTAAATCTATTTGGTGATTTTTCTTTTAGACTGCTATGGATGGAGAACTGTTTGAAGTAAAGCACCTCTTAATTCTGAGGGAGCAAATAGCTCCATTTCAGGTTGATTTCACTATTCGAGAAACTAGTCTAGATTTTAGCAAAGTAAAAACAGCTGGTAGGTTTTGTTTCTTTGTTTATAGATTCATCCATCAAATATCTGAGATGCTTGCATTAAAATAATCTTTAATTTTTCCTTAATAGCATTTGGGCTTCTTCAGAGGAGAAGACAATTGCTATCTCTGAATGCAAACAATGCATTGCTTGAGTTCCTTCTTGATGGCACACCAGCAGTTCGAGAGCAACTTATTGATAGTAGAAGAGATGTAGACCTAAGATTGAAAACAACTTGTGAGAAGTTCATAGCAAGTGCGACATCTGCTCTTGTCGGCCCATTACAACACCTTTTAGCACAGGTAAAGTATTTAAGATCTAATTGCATAGCATGAAACATGCATAAAGCTTTTCAAACTTTGAGAATGTGTGCACATAGTGAAATTCCAAGTCTAATGCCCTAGTGCTCTTATTCAAACAGGTGCAGTCATTCCTTAAAATGAAAACAGAGGAAGGAGATAAGCTTAAAGATGTCAAGTTAAGGCAGCAACAGTTTGCTTTGCCAGAAGCGATTGGATCTGTTGTTCGTGAAACTCAGAAACTTATGAAGACTGTTCTCCCTGCCTTACAGCGCAGTATGCAATTGTACCTTGCCAATAAAGATACAGAGGCTATATTATACAGACCTATCAAGGTAGGCGGTTTCTGCAACCACCATTATTATTCCGAGTGATTGATATACCAATTACTTAATTAAACTTGATAATAATAATCTCTGTGAACTTATTGTCTATTCACCCTTTATTTTATTTATTTCCAGAATAATGTGGTCAGTCACTTTGCAATCCTGCAGCAGCATTTGATCAGTGAGGGATATTCAGCAGAGGATATGATGGTAGTGGCTTGTCCTACTCCAGAACAGGTTCAAGTAATGTTGTCTTCTGCATCTTTAATAGCTGCTGGATCATGACCCTAGCTTAACTTTATTTTGTAAGTATCGCGCTTCTTGTTTCTAATTTTACGAGTTTGAGTGCTTCATCCAATTCACAATACTGGTTGTATACTATTCTATAATCAATAATTTGTATGCTTTCAGGAATTTGTGCATTTTGCAAAAGCTTTTAAACAAAAATATTGTCTCCTTATTCCAGGGTATAAACTGGTTATAATGCAGTATAGATCACTTTATTACAATGTTAATTGTTGCAACTATTTTACATTTAACTGTTACTTCCAACACAATATTGTTCATGGTCTTCAAAATTGTGATAAAAGTTTTGATAAACATATAATAAATATTAATATTATTGAGATGCATTGTTAATTACTGTAGTTATCTATTGCCTATTGTTATATCACTAGGTTTTTTACTCTCTTCTTTTTGTTGTTTAATCTGGGAATCAGACATTGCAGAACCTGTTACTTTGACTTCCCTCTCTTTCACCTCTTCAGAACTGTTTGAAATCTCTATCATGTCAAGGCAAGCCTCCTTCTGTTCAATCCATAACTTATATCCTCGTTTGGTTGGGTACCTCTTAATAGTACCACACAGTAGGCAGGTCCATATGAGATTTTCAGATCGTAAACGAACTTTAGCACTAAAGCCTGGTTTTAGTAAGTTGCCACACCCTTTACACAAATCTCTCTTAACATCAGGCTCACTGCAACAAGAAATGTTGAGGTTGAGTCAAATTAGTTATTTATTTCAAAAATTTAAAGGAACTTTATAAGAATATTTGGAATAAACTCACATTTTAAGAACTGATTTCTGGGCTGTTGACAACATAGAGTTCCCATAGTACGCAGCTAAGTCACCGTTTATGTTGCATTGGGCCACGACATGAGCAGCCTGAAAATGAAGTCAATTCAAGATAACACAGAGGTTATTATACTAAACTAGATAAATGAAAATCCCAAGTCATACCTGATATAAGAAATTCATTCGCTGGAAATTTTCTTTACCCTGGAAAAGTTTGCCACCACCTTTGGACTTCGTCTTAGTCATATTAGAAGATGAAATTAAGAAACAAAACTATCGAGTGACCAAATCTGAACTTCTTTTATACTCAGAGACGTAAGGAAGTTTATGTCGAAAAAACTGCTCGTCAAAACAAAATGTAAACTAAATGTGTTAAAAAGTTTAGGTTATGTTGAACACGAAGACATTTGTCTGTTTGTTTACAAAACGACAGCGCATTATTCACACGACAGGTGCGCGATGAACCCGCACGCTCCTCGACGCGAGACTACAAGACCACAACCACTGGATGAAAAATCGGTGACGACTGTTGTTGGCACTGTTGGTCGAAGAAATCCAATGAAACCAGATGAAACCATGGTAAAAAAAAATCTAGATGTGGGCCCTGACTCCCTGATTCCGTCTACGTACACAGAAAGTGAACCATTCCGGAACAAGTTCACAGGCTCGTAGCATAGGACTACGGTAACGATAACGCCTGCAAAGTGCTGGGTATGCCAACCCGCCAAACAGCTGTGTGGAGCCGTCGGCCTAGGCCGAAGGTGGCACGGTCAGCCAGAACGTAAAGCACTTAACGTTTTCTTATGCCGGAAAACGTTTGTTGCGCCTGTATATACCCTTTTCACTTTGTGTTATTATTGTATACAAAAAGTCGAATAATAACACGGTATACAGACATCTCCCCTGATTAAAATGGACTACGGTAATACGATTTCCGGAAAGTATACCAACAGTGCCGGGTGTACGAATGCGCCCCAGTGCTGCGTGATTGCAAATGGCAGTACGTTGGGTTGCCTATGCACTGGCTGCAGGGGCTGCGGGCGCGGGGCGCTGCTGGCGGGGTAGTGGTGGGGGAGCTACCATGGCTACACCTACCCCGCCACCAGCCCTGGGCCAGCTCCTGCAGCCGGTGCATAGGCAACCCAACGTACTACCATGTCGCCTGGACACACCTGGTTCACAGGCAACGGGCAACGGAAAACGGAAACATAACTCGTCCTGTCTCATTCTTCTGCACCGAGTAATGGTGTAGGGTAGTGGCTGGAGTCTCCCGGATTCTCATTCAGCGCTGATCCCTGATCCTCCTAGACTTACATTGTCTCAACGAGAATAAAACTGTTAGTGGTTTTAAATCATCGACCTGCTGTTGACTCGATAAAAGTAGAATCAGCCGTTCCTTGTGATGATATTCTGTATGTGATATCTTACTTGACACCACGTGTTCCACACGTGAGTGTGCTTGTTTGACGATTAAATTTTGTGGTCATGTTTCTGTAGAGTACTCCACTACTTCGAAGCCCGTCGGCAAGCCCGAGCAGGCCCTCATCCACAGGATCCGTGGATCCGTATCACCCTCACCACCGTGATCTATCCTTGTTTTATACCACTCTTTATAAATTGTCTGGTAAAACAGTTTAAAAGACGACAATTTCCGATAAACGGATGACGTTCTGTCGTTTTCTTACCAGAAAATGCCTCATTTGTATTGTATCCCCTATTCTCACATGGTGCATTTGAGCTGGTATAGGCCCCCATTGTCTTCGCCTCTGGGATGCCCGTGCGAACGAAGCCTTCAGCTGACCATCGGATCGGAGTGGGAGGGAAATAGATCAAGGGATGAGGATGAGCGTGGAGAGGGGGGTGAGGGAGTTCGGTCGCGGGGCGGGATGGGTGGCGCGGAGCGTGCAGGGAGGCGGAGGGTGAAGGGACAGGGAGCCTGCCTGCAGCCGTCGCTGCTGCACCGACTTGCATGTGCATGGCGTCCATATATAAGCTCAAAGGTCGGGTCCCCATGCTGCAGACCAGGCAATCCGAGGCAGCAGCACGGGTGTCTCTGACTCTGGTGGCGACATCGACTGGACATCATGAACTCCGCGGTGAGTCTCCTTCGGCGCGCCGTCTCCCCCGGCTCCGGGACGGCAACTTACTTTGCCAGCGCCTAACTTTGTATCGCCACACTGGAAGGCGGTGGCCACACTGTGGTCACTGACGCATGCTTTGGGCGCCTGTGCTGCAGCCCACCTCGCGGTTGGCGCCGCTGCTGCTGCTGGTGCTGCTGGCGGCCGCCGGCGCCCGGGCGGGCTACCTCCACGGGCCGGTGCCGCTGCCCGTGCACGCTCCCGTCGTGTCCTACGGGTACCACACCGCCGTGGTCAGCAAGCCCCTGGTCGTGCCGCACCCACTGCCCTACCACCACCCGCTGCCCTACCACCACCCGCTGCCACTGCCGCACCCGCTGCCCTACCACCACCCCCTGCCCGTGCACCTGCCACCGCCCGTCATTGTCAAGCCCATCAGCACCTCCTACCAGAGCTTCCACAAGGTGAGACCATGTCAACGATGCTGTTTTCACAGGGATAGGTGTTGTAAGTCGGATTTTCATTTTGGTTATACTGTACCGCACGCAGGCGTGCGGACAGGCTTGCCTTCCAACTCTCACCACTGCGCGCCTTATGCCCCGTGCGAATATGCAAACCGTCCGCACATCTGCATGCGGTACAGTATTACAAAAATAAAAGTCCGGCGTAGTACACCCACCGGTTTAGCTAACATAGGAAGAAGATTAGTTAGCAGAGCCTAAAGGTTTCTGATTGGTCGAGCATTTACTTCCACACCCGCTTGTATCTGGAAATTCTTGATCAATCAGGGACGTTACCAGCTACTCATCTTCCTCTGCTTAGGTGAACCACACTGTAAGTTTCTCCCAAAGAACTGCTCTTTGTAAAGTACAAAGGAGTTTGCACCTTCGCAATACAAACAAATCTTTTGTATTACGACGTACGAAGGGCTCGGCAGTTAACAACGTGGTGCTCTTTGTAATACGAAGAAAATCCGTTCATAATATGGTGGTTCCAGATCCTTTGTACGCTACAAAACCAATCCTTCGTAATATGAAGACTGTTTTATTGTAAGGAACTAAGAGTGCTCATTAAAGGATATGACTCATGGTGTTAAAAGCCTCAGTTTGGATGAAAAGTAATAAAAATAATCAATTTGACAATGAGTGACAAGTAGCTGAAGGAGACGAAGACCTCGATGGCCGTCACATTACACTCGCTCTTTGCTCACAGGTGGACCGGCCCGTGTACCCCATCACCGTGCTGAAGCCCCTGCCGCTGCACCCGCCGCTGCACCCTCTGCCGCTGCACCCACCGCTGCACCCGCTGCCGCTGCACTCGCTGCCCCTCTACAGCCCCCACTACCCCCACTACCTGCACTAGTCCTGCCCCCCGTCCCCCACGCCCTTCGTCGACAACGTCCCGCCCGCCTGTGTGAAAGACAAAGTCAATAAAAACAAACGACACGCAAGTTTGGCTACTGCCAAAGACAAAAAGAACCTGAATGTTTTCGTGATTTTGTGCACCCTTCCTCCCGTCACAGTCACACAGCTGGCCCCGCCCCGCCGCCGGCGCCAAGCCAACAAGTTTCTGCAAGAGCCATGATGGCACCACACCGCGGAGCCCGCCGAGCAGGAGGTGTCGGGCTTGCTGCTCGTAGCTGACATGGACCTCCCGTTGCCGCCGCTGGCTGCGCAACTTTGAGTGTCCGCGCGCTGAGTGTGTTGTGCCTCGCGGCTGCTTATCGCTCTATCGCCGGCTCTGCTGCTGCACCGCGCCCCGCTCGAGTGACAATGGGTCGCGTTAGGAGCAGCGCCGGCCGGGATGGACATGGCTCGTGTGTGCGGTATGCGCGCAGCGCACACGCCTTGAGCGCGGCGTCTCAAATCAATGAGCTCGCCAGCAGCACACCGAGGAGGTGATGGGGAGGCAGGGCGAGGCGTGCCGAGGCGCGCTAGTTAGGGGCCTAGCCGGCGCGCTGTGCAGCCAAGGGCACTCGGCGGGGCGTGTATGTGGAACACCTGCCGCACCGCCCTGCCCTGCCCTGCCGTGCCGCGCGGCCCGCGGGGCAACAGCACTCTGCCTCGCTTCTCTGCCACTTCTGCTGTACTGGAAGCGCGCGGGGAGCGGGGCGGCGGGCGGTTTATATCCTGCGTCGTGCCTTAAGAAACGAAAACAATGAAAGAATAATAATAACACCAACCTTCGCCTGCACGTTCTTAACCGACATTAAAATTATAGTTAAAATTAATCCGAATCATTAAGTCTTTCCAGTTTAAAAAGTTGGGTCGGTTGTTAAGTCAGGACGATTTCACTTGACAAGAGACACTTATTGTCATTGCAATATGCGTCTATTTGCACATACTGTAACATTATTAACCCTGAGCACTAGTGCCAAATTTGTATCTCATCCTGCTGCACAAATTTTTACTTTTTCCAAATATACGAATTTTCCATTAGTCATGCATCTCGCAATATGGACAAATTTAAAGTGTAATTTCTTTATTTTTATCTGCTCCATTGTTTGTTACCCACCTGAAGATTTACCTTGTTACGGGCACTTCTCTGCAGTGAACTTGAAGTTCGCCGCCGACGGGACCATACAACAAGAGAGGGCAAGGCGAATAGTCTCATCCCCTCCCCCCGCGGCGCAGAGGAGCTCGGCGCGGACAGATGCTGCGCTCTGATGACACTGTCCTCGGGAGGCACCGTTTGCCTCTCCACCCCCCCCCCCCCCCCCTCTTTACCCCCTCGTGACGATCGACGTTCTTGATCGTGATCGCGCGGAATGTGATGCGATGGTATATGTCTGCGCGCGCGCGCGCGACGCGCCCTGCCGCCGCTGACCCACGGCGCAGCTCCGTATTACCCCCACCCCCTTCCTTCCTTCACCTCCTCATCTCCAGGTATGATCACTCGATAGCAAGAGATGGCCTTCCTAAAATGGTGGTCATGCATGTGTGTCACGGCGCAGCCCGCCTTGTTGTTGTTGTGGTGTGACTGGGGGCCGCCGCCGCCGCCCCCCAGTCACACCCCGCACCTGCACCCGGTCCAGATGGCGTGACGTATAGCTCTCGGACCAAAGGGACCACCACCGCGCTGCGCAGCGCCGAGCCGAGAGTAGCGGAGCCAATTACCACTCAAATAATCCCCCGACCGGCAGCGTCCTTGAATTTTCGGGCGCGCCAAGTTACCTGGTGGGCGAGATAGGCGCAACGCGAGGCGGGCGACCGACTGATGAGAAGCACGGCGCCGCCGCCGCGGGAGTGACGCGGGGATATTGTGTGAATGCACCGGTAACGAGAGCGCGGCGTTCGAGCATTATGCAGAGAGCGTGGACACGACGAGCTCGGGGCTGCGGGGCAGCGGCGGGGCTCCCCCTCCAAGGACGCTGCCGCCGCGCCAAGGCCAAGGCCCCCGGCCGCGAGCCCAAGGCCACGCAAGGCCGCCGCCGGGCGCAGCGTCACGCCGACACATGCTGCACGTCGAGCCTCGCGTCGAGCAGCTCGCCCCCACCACGCACACACATGCTGTTACGTGGCGGCCACGCAGGGGCGCGGTGCCCGCAATGCCGCCGCCGCCGCCGGGTGGCTCGCGGCACGTAGCACACATCCTGGCGCAGCTTGGCGCACTTTTTGGGAAGCCCATGGCCAGTTAAGGACGAGCCTCGCCCCTCAACACTTGCGTCTCCTTTTCCTCATCCACCACGTCGTGTTCCCCGTCGGGTCTAGGAGTAGCCGCTATCCCCCCGCCGCATCTCGACGGCTCGGCTTCCTCCGTCCAGTCTGCTGAAGCGGGGCTTCCCGTTGTTGTCGGCCGCCTAGAGTGTCCAGCTCGTGCGGGGCAGGGAGGGGCAGCCTTCATACGCACCAGAATTAAGCAAGCGTTGGAAAGGCTATGCGCGGCGCGGCCTGGGCCGCACGGCTGCGTTTGCATCCATTAGCCGCGTAGAAGGACGGCACGCAGCACGACCGCGACGACGCGCTGCTCGGCGTGGCCGGCCCGGCCCGGCCCTGTCCAGTTAGCAGCACAAAATACTGCTTGTTTTCACCGAGCGCCGAGCGGGAGCGGGAGGACGCTAGCAGTGCGGGAGGAGGTGGGGGCGGGCAGCGTGGTGCGGCGCGGGGACGCTGCGAAGAGCCTCGCGCCCCGCCCCGCTGTAGAACTCGGCCGGACACCGCGGGAAACAGAGCAAGCGAGCAAGCGCTCGGCTGTGGCTGTGACAGCGCTCATGGCCGCGGGATGGCCCGGCCTGGCGGGGACCCGTTCTGTCCTCCTGGTGGACGCTGACTGCTACTGTCTCTCATAACCCTGCAGAGACGCGCCGGGTGAAGATGCGCAAGCAAAACTGAAAATTGAAATGAATCAAACAAGCGCAGGCCGCTTCAGACAGAGACGCTTTGTAGAGAGCTCCCCTCCTGCAGGCTGTCATGTAGTCCGCCCAGCCCACACCCGTCGCACGCGTGCTCGCGGGTGGGGAGCGATACGGGAGGAAGGCGAATCAGAAGAAGGTGAAAATAATCAAAATGCGATAAATATCCGCGTCCGCCCTTGGCTCCGCTTGGCTCGGTGTGTTGTGCCGGCCCTGCGTGCTTCCCTTTCACGAGGCGTCTTCGCCAAGGCTCGCGCCGCTCGGCTCGTGCGCGGGGCGCGGCGGGGAGGCCGGTGGTGGATAACCTAGCTGTTTGTTCGGCCGCACCGTCGCACTACACTGCTGCTCGGTCACATTCTGCTGCTATGTGCGTGCGCGGCCTGGGCCGCCAGCTACTTTACATAGTGTCATAATGTTATTATCTCTTTTTCGGAAAACTGCGCCGCGCGCGACCCACCGCGCCGCCACAGCGGCACGAGCACCAGAGAGGCGGCTTGTGTTGTATATAGCCTGGGCTGTGGGAAAACGGCCCGGTTAAGTCTTGCAGCTGTAATGTGTGCGTTGTGAGCGTGCGTGCGTGCGCGTGCTGACATCGTGCGAGTCCCGCTGCGTGCGTGCGTGCGTGCGGGCGCGTGTGTGTGGGATATGGTCGCGCCACATGGCACGCGCCAGCTGCAGCTCAGAGGAGGTATGTATTTCGGCGGGCGGAGCCGCCGCCGCCGCCGGCCACCTCGCGCGCCGCAACAGCCCGACCCACAGCTCCGCCAATTAACGCCAAACTCCTGCGCGGGGCGTGGCCTTATTCCGCGACCTGGGCGCGGGCGGCGCGGGCAGAGTAAACAGAAGGGAAATGTGCGTGTCTCCGGCGCGTTAGAGCGGCGTTCGGCGGCTGCAGCGGCCAGCGGCTGCAGCGGCCAGCGGCCGCGGAGGCGGCGGCACCGCGCGAGGAAACGGCACCCGAGGGATTAGCATACGGCGCACTACTACTGGACGAAAGCAGCAGCAGCAGCAGCAGCAGCAGCAGCAGCAGCAGCAGCGCCACCACGTGTTTGGCGGCCAAAGTTTCGCAACGACGCGGAGACTGTTTATTTCCTTTCACTCGGAAGGCACACGCGATAAACTACTACTGCGGTGCTTCTTCCTTACCGCACTGCGCGCTGCTTTTTCGGACGGGAGCGCCTGGGCGCTAGGCAGCTCGCGCGCACCGGTGCGTTGCGGTCGGTGAGGTTGCCTACCCGACGGGCGCTCCAGGTCGGGGCGGGACCGACACGTCCTCAGTAAATCCGTCCACAGAATTTGCGCGTTGTGAAAACACATCCACAAATTTACATCCAATGATTTGGACGTAAATTAGCACATGTGTTTGTTACGTCCACAGTGTGGATGTACTTGTGAGGCTGGTGAAAATAGCTCCACAAATTATTTTGTCACTTGTCTCCTCTTATTTACACCATAACGGATCACGTTTTGCCCTCACTCTGAAAATCCAACAGTACGACACTTGCAAGAGTGGGACAAAAGTCCTACACACTCAAGTGCAAGTGACGCAGGTGATACTCTGAAAACTCAAGGAATACGCACTAAGAGTAGGACGTCCCCACCCCTGAAAAAGTTACAGCATTTTCATACAGTTACCGCAGGGTAATTGCCTCTCATGTCGCGCTCTACACAGTCGCGGTCGAGAAAATGGTGATTTTCATTCACCGATAAACAAAAATTGTCCAACTCTTTAACACTTGCAATAGCACAAGCACGACAACTCTGTTGCGCACTTTCAAGTGTTGAAGAGTTGATCACTTAGTTTATCAGTGTAGTTTATTCTTTGGTTGGTTTGGTCACTCCTGAGGGAGGATGTGAATCACAGCGGCGACAAGTAGCGCCAGATTTTGTGGAGGTATTTTCACCAGCCTCACACGGACCGAGAGTACATCCACACTGTGGACGTATTAATCGCAGACGTCTATTTACGTCCAAATCATTGGACGTATTTCCGCAAAGCGCTTCATTTACGTCCAAACTGCTGTGGACCTATTTACCGTGGACGTGTCGGTCCTCCACCCCAGGTCCGCCCGTTTACCGGCGGGTGCTCCAGGTCCGCCCGTTGGTCGGCGGGTGCTCCAGGCCCACCCGTCGGCCGGTGGGTGCTCCAGCCTAGCTCCAGGTTCGCAGGTTGGCCGGCGGGTGCTCCAGGTCCGCCCGTTGGCTCCGGGTGCTCCAGGTCCGCCCGTTGGCTCCGGGTGCTCCAGGCCCGCCCGTTGGCCGGTGGGTGCTCCGGGTCTGCCCGATTGGCCAGCGGGTGCTCCAGGTCCGCCCGTTGGCTCGCGGCGGGCCGCCGTGATGCAGGGCAGACAGCACCACCTGGTTAGCCAATCCCTTCGGTAATCAGAGGAGCCTTGGTGGTTCGGCGCGGTGCGCGGCGCGCGGCACGGCGCGCCGGGCCCGGCCTTGAGGGCCAGCGTCCAGCCCAAGGGCCACGGCCGCCCCCCGCGTCGCAGCACGCCGCGCAAATGCAGCCGGCCCGCGGCCGCCGGCGGGTTGTTTTCCTTTCGTGCGCCGCCGAGTGAGTGCACCACTTCTGGTGAGGGGCCCGTCACTCTCGTCACTCCCGAATGAGTGCGGGCCGCCGGGTCTGTGACGTATGGAGACCGATTACCCGCAAGTGACGAAATGCACGCACTCACTTTGACACCTTCGGCACGACGTTTCATGGCGACTCTACAAAAGGCAGTAAAAAAAGATCCTTTTCTGCCGCAGAAAAATAGAGGGCTTTGACTACTCGGGGCTTTACAATTCCTGTCTTCACTATCGCAGGGAGTGCCCCACTTCAGTGCCGCCTTTACTTTTGCAGTGCAAACATAAGCGCGGCCTCCTTTGCCCCCTCCGCGCCGCTACTGACCACAATCCGGCCGAAAATGGATAGCATTCTGATCCAAACGCAGAAGGAGGCCCGGGAGATAATTATTTCGCTGTTTCACAACGGCGTGTGCCGTGCGCGCTGTGCGTTAAGCTTGGACCCGCCAGAATGTAGAAAATACATCAGTGATGCAAATTCCTTTCCTCCAACATGAGCTGCGTTGTTTCCCCTGTGGGCTTGTGTGCAGGCAGCAGTGGACACGGTTCGGCTGACCATTGGTCCGAGCCTAACCCGCTCTGAGGTGAGCAACGTGATCTGCTCCAGCCACCCGACATCAAGATGGTGTGATACTGCGAGGCGCGAGACAGGCAGATTTTCAGACGCAGCGACACAGATACGCAAGGAGGGATGGAGGGAGAGAGAGACACGCTCAGATAGAAAAGAGAAGGCAATATACGAAGGAGATAAAAATTGTGTTCCCACCGACCCGTCGTGTCGTAATAAGGCAACATAATCGTTATCTGCAAGCGACAATAAGAAGCTGAAACAAGAACAATTTGTCCGGCGGTCGGCGGCTCCTCGCCGATAGCGCTAATGGCCGACAGGCACCCACACATTCCTGGGCGGCCTCTCACCGCCGCTCCACGCCACGCTACGCCACGCTACGCGACGCCACGCCGCGTCGCGTCGCGAAAGGCGGGACAGATACTTCGGGTGCACTCCGGCCTCCTGCCGGCGCAGCGCTGGTTCACAGAGAGTCATTTTCTTGTTTTGCCTCCGCCTTTCTGCTTCTGCTCGACATAAAAAGGCTAAAAATGAATAATGGTCAGAAAAAGAGGCGCCCCTCTGGCCGTCCGGCTAATGAAGCTCACTGCCCCTGACCTTGCCCAACGACACGGCCGCGGCGGCCGCGCGCGCGGGGCCAAAACAACAAAAACAGGACGCAGGACGCAGCAGGGCGCCGCAGGGCACCGCAGAGAGAGAGAGGCTGGGCTGGGCAGCTGGACGCGGAGGTGTATTGCATATCCAGCTCCCTAAAAGTCCAGCGCCGCCGCTCCCTTTGGCCCCGAGCCGAATGGACTGGAGCGAGCGTCGCGCGGCGCGGCGCAGCGTTGTATCCTTGCCGGCGGCGTCCTCCCCACACACTCTCCATGGGTGGGGCGGCGCGGCGGCGGCGGCGTCCTCTGGGCCGAGGAGGTGTGTCCGGGAGCCCGTCCCGCGCCGCCGGCGTGCCGGTGCCCCGCGGGCCACGGCCGGGTCCTGGTTTGTCCCCGCCGCTCCCACGCCCTTGGCATGAGGAGACCGCGCCGCTGGACTGCGGCCCGGCCCGGCCCTGCCCGGCCCGGCCCGGGGGTGCCGGAGGGTGGGAACGCATTACCGCCGCCATTTGCACACAGAGGGATGCGGGTGGAGTATGCCGGACACTCTCGGACACTCCAGAGAGCCATCGAGCCATAGCGGCCCGGCGGCGCCGTGGCCTCCGAGGAATGCGCCGCCGAGGGTGTTGACACAGCGACGGCTCGAGTATCAGTCCGTAATCATCGCCCCTTCAGAGTGTGGCGCTGCGAACACAGCCACTCCCGATGCGTGATGCGCGGCGCCGAGAAGGGCTGCGGCAGGGCTGCGGCAGGGCTGCGGCAGGGCTGGGCCGCCAAGCGACGCGCCAGGCGTAGCGGAGCGCCCGGCAGCCTCCTCTCCTTCAGTTTATGGCGCTGCCATTTAGCGGCCTGGCGATGCGATGCTGGCGATCAGGAGTCCCTGACTCGAATGACAGCAGCCCTGGATGTGGGCCGCCGCTGGCCGGCTGGCCGTCGCTATAGCTGGGCTGGGGAGTATGAGTGTGTGTGTGTATGCAGAATGGAAGAGCCGCCACTCGCACGCTCTTCAGGAGTCGGGAGGAAGAAGAAGAAGAAGAACGTAATGCACGCGAGGAAGTGGCGGTCGGGCCGCGGCCTTCCCCTCCGCGTCGCTATGACGGCTGTGTCCCGCGCCCTCACCTTCCCGCCTCCACGCCCGTACCGTATCAAGGGGGCCCCGGGCCGGGGCGCGGCGTCGCAGCGCGTAAACGACCCTAACTGCCGGACACAAGAGGCTATTGTTCTGCCGGGCGTCGAAGTCTCCCGCGACGCCGCGGCGCGACCGGGGCGGCGGCGGCGGCGGCGCGAGCGTTGCGGCAGGTCAGGCCACGGGACGAGCCCCTCTCCTCCACTCCCTCCACCACCTCCGTCTCTTCGACCCGATGTCTCACTCCGTCTTCTACTGCTGTCCAACTCGTGGAACATTCCGAACATGACACACGGGAGGCTGTACGGGGTCGTCCCGCAGGTCATCCCGCGACTCATTTACACAACGCATAAGACTTCTCGATGACGCGGCTCGAGGCTCGCTGCGCTGCACCGTCGTGCGCTCGGCCGCGCCGCCGCGCCACGCCACGCGGTGCCTCGACTCCCAGAGCCGTGATGATCGAATCGCGGGGGAATGAAGTGGTCTGGCGCTGCGCTGGGGTCAGCCGGGCAAGGGGGGCTGGGCGCGCCCCATTTCGCACGGCGCACGCACAGACAGACGCACGGCGGCCGATGCCCGCCCCACGCTACGCCACGCCCTCCACGACCCCCAAAGGGCTCCGTTTCAACACCAATGGGTGGGTTTCCATAGCATCGCGCACGCGAGTTTTATGGCCGCGTCCATGCAGCTGAAATATCAAGCGGGCGTTGATTACTTTATTGTTTTTGGCTTGCCAGGTCAAATATACCCATCCGATAATTAATATGTTTTTGCTATACTTTTGGTTACTTGTACGCCGCTTACCAAAGTCAGCGTTTACCCGCGCCGTGTAGGTTCTTCACCGGTTTTATCCTTTATACTGCACTACTGCCTAGAAAGTGCATCCGTTTCACATGTATTATTCGATCGATCATTCGGCAAATTACGAGAGCTCAGCGCCTGCGAGACTCAGGGTAGGCCACGCCGCACTACACGCGTGCATCGTAGTCAAAATGTTGCCTGCCTATCAGGCGCTATGAGACCATAGCATTGCCTTTACATGCCAATTTCGTAACAGAACGGCAGATGACGGACTCACTTTGGGATGATCCTACCACAATAAGTGTGATAATTAATTTATGTTAAAGAACGAGTTTATTCCGTGTCACAGAAATAGTTGTAGTCTCCCTTGTTTTTTGTTTTAAGTTTCCATTACATTTTAGACCTCGTCGTACTTTGCTGTTGCTGCCCTGGTGGCCTCGAGCAAGGAGTAACTATACAAATCCATGTCCAAGTTTTGAAACGGCTGCCCGCCCATTGACCCGCGAGCCCGCAACTTGTCACGTCCTTTTGCTTCCTTTCGCGATGCTCCTCACCCGGCGCTGTCCCCTCTGTCGCCGCGGCGTCCCGAGGGGCAAGGTCGGGGCCCGCGCGGGGAGAAGCTCGCCGGCATCACCCGTCCCCGTCCGTCTCGTCCTGGTCCTGGTGGGAAACAGTCAGGGGGCCCCACCGTTGTTTTGGTCTCCGTCTGCTGCAGCGTGGGGCGCGAGGGAGGGCGGCGCCTCGCGTCGGGGTGGGGCAAGGCGGCGCTGCTGGCGGGGCGGGGCCCCGCGGCGTTTGGGCGGCTGCAGCTGCGTGCCCCTCTGCCCCGCCAGCGCCGCCCCCTCGGCCGCCCCCCTCCTGGCGCGGGTTGCATTATTTTCGTGATTCTGGGAGGTGTATATAAGCGGCGGGCCGCCCTGGCTGACCATCCACAGTCCCTGTAGCACCAGCGCAGTGAGTGCAGTGACTAGTGCCCGACCCAACCCGAGCCACCAAACAGCCACCATGTTCAAGCTGGTGAGTCCTCCTGGGCTGGACCGTGCCGCGAGTACGGCGTCGACATCAAGTGCAGCAGCAGCGCCCACAGGGATTACCAAGGGCCAAGAGCGTGTGCGACCGAAGAAACTCGTGTGTTGTGTGTGTGTGTGTTTTGAAAGGGTGCCCCTCCCCTATCGTGTTTAGTGGGTGAATCGCTCAAATTATGTAAAGTGCACCAGTGATGTGGTGTGTTGTCCGACGCCAGCTATGCAGCTGGCCATCCCTGGACTCTCTTCCGGGCAATCGCAGAATGTCGGACGACCTCAGATTTCTATTCTAAACTTTTAACCGCTCTGACATGTTCTTTGATAACTGGCCGTAATTCTCCGCCGGTTCGATCTCGGAACGACGCTCGTGTCGTTCCCGTCGTCCTGGGACGGCCCTCGTCGCCGCCGGGGCGCCCTGCTCCTCCTTCCTCTTGGCACCATGGATATCGCCGTGCGATGCGCTGGCCGTGCGACGCGCTGGCCGTGTGTCCATTCCAGTGCGGACGCAGTCCTTGCCCCTGACTCCGATGTAGGGCCGCCGCGCCGCGTCCCGCCGCCAGTCAGGCCGGCAAGCTTTCAGAGCTCCAGGCCATTCGATTCGCTCCTCGCAGTGCTGCACATCGATACCTCGATGCGAGGCCTTGGGAAGGACGCGTCTCGACGCGCCGCCCGCGGTGGTCTCTCTAGCCTGCCCTACCGTGTCCTGCCGCCGCGCTGACGAGAAGGTCGCCGAGCCGAGCCGCCGCGGTATTGTCACCGTCACCGTCTACCCGGAGGATGGGGGGATCTTGTCGGACTTGTCTTCGCCGCGGATTCGCTACCGCTCCGCCGCTGGAGCCGCTGGCCCACGCCCGTTGGCCCCGCGTTATGCTAAGCAGGCGTGTCAGATGGGTTGCCTACCCACACTGCATTAGGCTGAGGAAGCAGGACCCCCCCCCCCCCCCCGTAAACCTCTATATTTGCCCACTCTCCCTCATGCTGCCCTTTCTCACAAGAGACTTCTCGTCGACGCCCGCGTCCGGATGAAACCACCCCGCCCGTAGAACGATAAAACACGTGTGATCTGATGATTGGTAGGTTAGTGACGCAAGGCTGACAAATGACACGTCGCGCTTTGCATACAAAGGCCGCACAACGACAGGGTATTGATGACTTGGGCAGGGTGCTGAGTGCGCGCCGGGAGTATGGCCTTCCGCGCACAAACGATCCTATGCTTAATTTATCGTCATTTATTGTGATTATGTCCAGATCGTCCTGTGCGCTGCCGTCGCCATGGCCTCGGCCGGCTACTTGGAGCCCGCCATCTCCTCGTACGGCTACACCACCTCGACCGTGCTCAAGGCACCCATCGCCCACGTGGCGCCCGTCGCCTACCACGCGCCTATCGCCTACCACGCGCCCGTCGTCTACAAGGCCCCCGTCGCCACCTCCTACCAGTCCTTCACCAAGGTCAGTAGATTTCGGGTGAGGTTGAGGGGGGAAGCACGCCACCCGACATTTAACGATTCACCGCTTCTCTGTCCATGTTTCAGATCGACAAGCCCGCATACGCCATCGCCCCCGTCCACTACGCCACCCCCATCGTCAAGTACGCCCCCGCTATCTCCTACGCGCACGCCCCCCTCGCCTACAGCGCCCCCTACGCCTACGGCCACCACCTGTACCGCTGATCTCATGAATAAACTGACGCCCTGATAAGCTATACTGTCTCTATAAATCCATAAGCTGCTCCATTCTGCACGTTCGTTTCATACGAGTCACGCAGCTTGCTCGTCGCACAGACGGTTGCAACAACACTTTCATACTCAATACGGTTTCGAAGTATTTCTGTAGGAGAATATTCTGAAATCGGAATGACCGAAGGATTCAACCAACACACTCATTCAAACAAAAGGAAAAAAGAAAAATAATTAAGACGAAAGCAAAGAAAGGTCCACTACACCACCGCACTTCTTGAACAACCAGAAATTTTCCGGATTCATTTGAACAAGCAGGCCTTCCCCTCCGGCAAACGGAGCTGCCAGCTACACTCCGTCTTGCGCGGCCTATAACTCCAACAATTTTTGGTTACCGTTTTTTTTCCTACCTAAAAATTTGAAGCGTCCTCCTAGTGGCAGGCAGACAGACCATACAGACAGACAGACAGACATGTGCAAAACTATTTGCTTTAGAAGCAGACTGGTGTATTGTTTTTTCGAAATTAAAAGAAATGGGATAATTAATGTGGAAACGAAGTTGAAGAAAATTATAAATAAAAATTTAATTTACGAGAAAAGCTTGAAGTATATCTATCGGTCGTGGCACATGTTGATGTCGATGACTTATTGTGGTTTCACAGTATCTTGTCGATTGTGGCGGCGTCGAGTAAGGAACTGAGAGTTGTCATCGTTCCTCTACTTCCATTTGGACTAGAGATTACCAGCCGTGGCCGTAAGAGATGGGGGCGTGGATGGCGGGGGTGGCGATGGTCTTCACGTAAGTGGGCTGGACGGCCACCACGGCAGGGCGGGAGACCAGGTTCACGTTGGCGTACGACGTGGCGACGGGAGCATGGGCTACGGCGACGGGGGCGTGGGCGACAGCGACGGGGGCGTGTGCCACGGCGATGCTGCCGAGGCCCAGGTCTCCGTAACCGCCGTACAGACCACCAGGGGCGGCGGCGGCGACGGCCAGGACGGCGGCGAAGATAACCTGCAACGTAAACGCAGTTGTAGCGAAACAGCCGTCACGGATGCCTTCTCTCCTACGAGTGTTCGCACTTCCTCCCCTGATGAAAGACAGGTGCAGGAGGGTAGCAACAGTTCAAACCGAGTGGGCAATAACTCTCTCTTGATGTGTACACACGATTCCCGAAAAACTTTATTCCCAGTGATTCCCGTCCATTGATATTCATTTCTTAGGTTATCTAGTGATTTCGTCTAATTTGTATCAGTTCCACTAGTTAGCTCCCGCTTAAGTTTAAGCGATTCCTGTTGATTTCGATTAATTTTTATCCTGGTGATTCCCAGGCAGGTGTACACATGATTACCGGAGTTATTTCCCCCTCGGTTCAAACACTCCCGTCCACTTGTGGCGCCTCAGAGCCAGAGCCCTGCAGCGGGCGGGCATCGGCTGTCCACTTGGCACTTGGGGTCCGAAAGCGAATGGGAGTGAGTGGGATCCAGGGCCCGGAGCGAGCTTCTCACTCGCACTACCACTTTCGACCGCCCGCTCCCGCTGCAGGGCTCTGGTCCTGGTCCACACGACACGCCCGCGAGGGTGGGCCGCCGCAGAGGCAGGCGCGCCTGTTGGGCTGCCCACCTCCCCGGCGCAACGCCGACCAATTACGTATTCAGCAGCTCGGCGCTCGACTCGCGCCCTGATGCACCACCAACTCCACTCGCACTGATGCACAGCCACTTTAACACTCCGACGAACGACGGGCTGCCGCAGGACTGGGCGGGCACTGCACTGCACTCGCTGCACTGGTACTCACCAGCTTCATCATGGTGCTTGGGGTTGGGTTGCTGTGTTCAGACAGGGGCTGACGACTGACTCTGGCCGGACGCCATCTGCTCTTAAATACACTGCAGCGGAGTGCACATCCAGCCCCACCTGCTACACTACACACTGCACCGCGAGAGACACGCGGACGCGCCGCGACCCACGTGATCGTCGTCCTGGCCCGCTGATTGGTCGGGGCAAGGCAGGTCGGCTCGTGCCCCCGGCGCGGATAGTTCCCGAAAGCCCATTCTCTCTCTCTCCCCTCTCCCCCCGCCGGCGCGGTGCGCTACTGGTGCCGTCGGATATGGTGGCGTCGCCGGGCCGGGGTCGCAATTAATGGCATCTCGCCGTCGTGTCAACGCGGACAGCCCCCCTCCCCTCCCACCTCGCTCTGGTTCACCCCCTCGCGGGCACACACCTGCTGCATGCTGCAGCACTGCCGCAAGATCTCGTGGCCAACGGATTACTCGTATTGCCCCTTGGGTTATTTTACCTCTGGACTCGGACACCCTGGCAACTGGCAAAACTGCCCGAGCTTGCATCTGCACAGCAGCTTTACCCTGGTTCGTACAGGGAGCCACCCCCCCCCTTCCCCCCACGCGGACACCCACATGATGGTAGGGTCGGCGTGCAGGGACTGCGAGCAGCCCTCCACGGGGCTGTGCGCACTTCCGTCGTGGTCACGTGTACGGCGGGATTCCTCCACCGACGTCCTGCCCCGCCGCGCCCCGCCCCGCCCCGCGCAGGCCGGCTCCATCACGCTCATGTCAGAGGCGAGCGAGTTTGCTGCCTGACGGCCGGGGCCGGGTGGGGCAGGGTGAGTGGGGTGTGGCGGGGCGGGGTCTGCTGGACGCAGGGGCCCACGGAGTCCGCGGCGGAGCTCGGCACACAGCTGAGCAGTGCAGGCTGGTAGGTCCAGGTCGGCAGGCCTACAGGCGGCCCGGGGACGGGGGCTGACTCGGGCTGCGGCTGGGGCTGGCCGGACGGGCGGGCAGCGGGCCGGGTCCGGATGGCCTCCGCCGGAGTGGTGTGATCCGCGGCTGTTCCGTTCTGTTCGATCGGGGATCGGGAGTGAGGTCACCCCGTACCGGACCGCCGATAATTTTTGATAAGTCGAGGGAGGCGACTGAACCTGGCGATCGCCAGCGGGCATTGTCAGGGGTTAACCAGCTAAGCGGCTCTACAAAGCGGGCACCATCGAGAACGACCTGTGGAGCCGTGTCGGCACCATTTAAGTGATATAAAAATAGTGCTATCGTCACTGCCTTGTAAAAATTAATGGTTTGAATTTTTAATTAATATTAAGCGATATTAAGTAATGTTGCAAAACAAACCAATAAATAATTCGCGCAGACCGTGCCTTGCGACCATGGAATTTTATGAAGGCGTTTGCACAAGATTTCCTATCGTCACTAACTATAGCGCCTACACACTAAATGGGAAAGGACAATTTTGTATCCAGCGAAGATTGTTCTTAAGCAGCATGTCTTAACTGGATGCAAATTTCTATCTGAAAAGGTACAAGTTGTGCGTAGCCTGGGCACAAATAACTTGTTTTAAGTGTAGTTTGGAGACAAATTTGCATCCGTTTGAGATGTGCGTAAGAACACATCCCTGCTGAACAAAAATAAAAACTGTCTTTTCCCAATTAGTGGGTAGGCAACACGGCCACATTCGTGCGTTCGAGACAGTACGGGACATATCAAGCACCTTGCTCAGAACAAAGGCCTTTTTTGGTTGATTTTGACATGTGCCAGTATGATCACGACCACACTGTGCGAGTCGACACTCGCCAGACGACACCTCTGGGCCCGCGACTGCCATACTGGGACACCGCGCTCATGGGCGGCGGCGACGCACAGCGTGACCTGGCAGAGCTGACGAGCAAACTGACAAGTAAAGACGTCGAGCTTTGTGAGCAGACGGGCGCAGCGCTGTAGCCGCACCGCGCTCACCGGAGCTGCGCCCGAGCCCGGCCCGCAGCGGCCCGCCTTCTCCAGTCAGCTGGACGGCTTGAGCCGGGCGCCGGGCGCCGGGAGGCGGTGCGAAGGACCGGCCTTGGTCGCAGGGTGTGTCCCAGGCGTGTCCCGGGTGTGTCCCGGGTGTGTCCCACCGCACTCGCTCGTAAAATAGCCGCGACTCCTTAGCGCGGGCCAAAAGGGGAACCTTCCCTGCAGCCTGAGTTACCACCACAGAATGGGGCCTCAGAGGTCAGCCAGGGAAAAACAAGTGTAAATTTGCGAAAAGAAATAAATCTGCATAAACAGATGAGTCAAAGCTTCATTAAATACAAGAAGAGTTCTACTTAGGTCCAACCCACTGACGTCACTGACTGACCTATGCGGCGCGGTGGGAGACATAGGGGTGGCCGTCAGCCCTCGCGGCTGCGGCACACCGCTTCTCGTCGCCATTTAATCTGCGCAAGCCGCCATAACGACCCACTACACCTCGCCCGGCTTCGTGTCCGCCTAGCGATAGAGGGTATCGGTGTCGGTGTCCGCCAGTGTCCCACACCATACCAGTAGTAGAAGGACTGCCGCAGTCGCCGCCGCGCCGCCGCCGCCCGGGGATTCTGTTCGGCCGGCTGGGAATATGGAAGCGAGAAGGGCCCCGGCCGCATCGTTCGAATCAAAGGAATAAGAATTGCGTTATGACATTTTCATGACAATGCCACGGTTGTTGCGATGGAGTAAAAGCTTGAGCCGCTGCTCCCCCGCGGGCGCCGCGAATATAGCAAAGATACTCCGCACTGCATAACGTATTTATGAACGGCGGGGTGAAGACGCGGGTCACCCACATCCACGCATAGAGGTATAATGTTATGATCCAGGCCAAGGGCGTGGCCGGCTCGCTCACATTACGCGGAGGGGCTGTCCGTAAAGTGCGCGGCCGGGGCGGGGGCGCGGCGGGGCAGGGCGGGGTGGGGTGGGGCGGGGCGGAGTGGTGTGGGGCAGGGGCGCGGCGGGCAGCGCGCCAGCTTATCAGCAGGGGAGGAGCGCACACCGCTCCCGCAACCGCGCGGAGCGCGCGAACCTATCAGGTTCCTGCCGTCCGGATTATTGGGACCCGCGTGCTGTGCTGGGCTTAATTAAGCCCGACCGCGTGGGCCGCTCGAGGGGAGCGGACTGCAGCAGGGTCCTCTCACTCTCTCCGTCCTCGTCACACTCGTAGGTAACCACCTCTAGGCAAGAGAAAGAGAGAGAGAGGGAGAACCCCTGCGCGAGACACCCTCTCGCCTCGCGCGCTCCGCGGAATCGCACCGCACTGCAGTCGCGCGCGCGCGGCAGCGAGAGCGAGAGAGGACACGACAAAAGCCTCTATGCGTTTTTGTTACCATGCTGCCGGCGCTCGGGTGTAGTTGGTGGAGAACTGGTTGGTGAAGGCCGGGGCGGGGCGGGGCGGGTCCCTCTGGCTGGCGGGCTCTAGGCCCCAACAACAACATGCTACGCGCACAGAGAGCGCACCGCCACGCCACGCCACGCCACGCCACGCGCGCGCTCACGGGGGGTTACTCACTTGCGGCGACAACAAATAATTTTGCAACTCATACAGCCACCCAACCAACCCACGCGGGCGGCTGCAGGCCTGTGGACCCATTTAAGCATGAAGCCCTAGAAATCAGAGGCAGAGATGGGCCCCGGGCGGCGGCGATGCAAGCGCGCGGGCACAACAAAACAGAGCGCCCCGCCGCGCGCCGCCACGCCCCGCAAGGCTCCTTTTGTTGTTAGATTGCCCAGCCCATGATTTGCACTCACGTTCGGTTATTACGATAGTGCGCAACAGCAAGAACAATCAAACGAGGAATTTAAATGCCGTGTAAAAAAGATAGTTTTGTCTTACACTTGTGTTTAACCCCCAACGGTTCAGATTGCACACACGCGAAGACACTCGAGACCCCGAACTTACATCGTTCGGAGTTTCCTCCCTTTCCTCTAACAAACTGCCCGCAGTCGAGTCGGACCGTTTTCCCATACCCCATGATCGATCGGGTCGAGCTCTCCGGCTGCGCTCGATAGTCATTACCGCGTCAGCTGCAAGCGGAGGACATCGAGGGCGCTCGCGCGCCGTGCAGAGCGCCGCCGAGGAAACATGCGGCTCCGTAGTCAGGAAGAGGGTAAAAGTAGTGCGAGGTCGCTGGCCAGGCTGCCCATGCAGGGGTCACACACGCACGGGACGCGGCCCCGCCCCCGCGGCCCCGTCCCCGCGGCCCCGCCCCCGCGCTGCCCCCGCCCTGGTGGTGCGCGCGCACATACTGTACTTCCGCGCCCCGCACACCTGCAGCAGGCCGCCGCGGCGCACACGACGACGACCGCGTCAAGCAAGCTCAACGACGTGACCTTATAGAGGGGCTTAGTCTAAACAACACACCTCCACACGACCGTGTTCTAGCGGATACTTAACCGCACGGTTGCACCCTTGTGGTGCACCCCATACCGATCTGATACGGCGGCACGTCGAATGTCATTACCGCCCGCTACACGCGGTGATTTGGCACCGGCCGCCGCCGCGCCACGCCGCGCCTGCTCGACTTGGCACCCATCGCACAACACTCACTTGTTTTTTTGTTCCTCTGTCTCTCTCTCCCTCTCTGGATAGAGCCGCGTCGTCGTGCTCCTGCGTGTCCGTTGACCCGCGTCGTGGAGCAGCGCAGGGCCGCGCGTGGCGCAGCGCAAAGGCGCAAGGTATGGAGATCACCTCGAGCGCGAGCCCGGCAGCCGGAGGGCGGGGGGCGGCGGCGGCGGAGGGGGCGCCGTCAACAATCCGACATGGGTCATAAAGAACGCCGTACCGAGACACCAAACACGCAGTCAATTAAAATCACCGGTCATCACATCGCAAAGCGGGCGGGCGCGGCCTAGGCAAGCGGGGGCAAGGGGAAGGAGGGGCGGCGGGGGCAGAGGGGTTATAGGGGCGGGGCAGAGGGGGCAGGCCGCGGCCGCGGGGGCGCGGGGCGTGGTGCAGCCGGGCGGGGCGGGGCGAAGTGCAGTGCCGGTGCAGTGTCTGCAGGGAGAGAGGGGTGCAGTGCGCTGCAGTGCGGCTGCAGTGTGCACTGCATGTATATAAGCGCAGCGCACGCACCCAGCGGCACTGTCCTGTGCTCCGACCAGCTCACACCAACACCTCACCATGTACAAGATCGTAAGTACCGCGGCCGACAGGCCGACAGTCGTCGCATAGCTGCAGCGCGACCGCGAGGCGCTGGACAAGAAGTAGTGGCCCTTCGTAGACTCGGCCTTTTACTCGTATTAGCTCGCCACCGGTAAAACAACCCTCAAGCTTCCCATACTAATAGAGCAGGGTGTGCTGATGGCCCCCTACTTTTTAAATGTTGTTCTGTTCTGCAATCTGTGAGCGAGTTGCTTAACTCGCTCGAATAATCCGTAATGTTCCATGCTGAACGACGGCAAGCCCACCCGCGCACATGCGACCGCATAATGTTCACGAAATCTCTTTGTAACGATTACTGGACATGTGGCCCACCCTATACAGAAGGGTGGTCCACGCAGACTCCGGAGAATGTCTTATTCATGCTGCATCGCAAGCAGGCCTGTGTGCGCGTTCACTAGACCTGACATCTCTTAACCCTCGGCGTTGTGCGTCCTGGATAGCGGTGTCGGGTGTCGTGTCATTGAGCAGAGGCAAAAGCGCAAAACGCAAAGTCAAAGCAGCCGATTCGGTACGATGCAAAGCCGATGTGGTCGCGAGGGGTCCTCCACTCTCCAAGTGGGTGTACAACGAGTTGCGTGGGTATCCGCGAGTATTCGAGAGTATGAGCGAGTATCCGCGAGTTTATGCGAGTAATGGCGAGTATCCGCGAGTATTAGGCGAGTATTTGTCGTTTTTTTCGCGAGTTTTCGCGAATTTTTCGCGAGTTGTCGCGAGTTGCCGCGAGTACCTTGCGAGTATTTTTCCTCGTGTACAACGAGTTGACGAGTGGGGGACCCCTCGTGTGGTCGTCAAAGGTCGCCGTTTGTCGCTGCCCCCGGATTACTTACGACAAACTATTATCCGCTCCGAACGGCCCTCGACCGAGTATTTCAATAAGGCGAGAACTTGGCCGCGCGCGCAGTGCTGGCCAGTGTGTTCTCCCTCCCAGGGATAGAAAAGTTACTTTTAAAAATGTAACTAGTTACAGTTGCAGTTAGTTTTCCCAAAAATGTAACTAGTTTCAGTTACAGTTACTTTTTCTTAAAGATTGCCGTTACAGTTACAGTTACATTTTTTTCGCCAAAAATTGTAACTAGTTACAGTTATCCCGGTAGTTTTTGAGTTAAATTGGTCGTTGTTTTCTATAAATTATTTTGTAATGGAAAAATTGTTTGCAAGGTAGGCGATTACGCATTATTTAAAGTCCGCAAAACTCTGCTTTCCTCGTCGTCTAGCGAGGGTCAGAAGGGGCTAGCGGTGGACGGGTGCGGGCGGGTAGGGGTAAGGGGAAGGATAGGGGGCATCCTTGTTTTTGTGCAGCAGGTACAGAGTGTTGCGACTATTGCCGGACAAGCGGGCGGCTAACCCAAGGTCGCCAAGGCCGGGCGAATGTGAACCGTGACAAATGCGGCCGAGCGTCTCGAAGACCGCTCTGTTGAAACGGATATACGTATAATTGACATGCAGTAAATAAAAGGGTCTTCCTCCTCGACCTCGCCGCCTTCCTTGCACAGGCCTGCCCAGACCCCAGATGAGCCGAAACAATACCGTCTTTCCAGCTCCTTTTCCTTCATTCCTCTGAATGCCGCGCTAGCCGCAGACTCCAGATAGCACATTGCAACAGAATGTGGATAAACAGAAAAGAAATCTCATACTTTTGAAAAGTTCTACTGGGCAAAAATAACTGTAACTGATATTAGTTACAGTTACAGAAAAACTGATATTAGTTACAGTTACAGAAAAAAATGTAACTAGTTACAGCTACAGTTATTTAGTTTGAAAATGAAACTAGTTACAGTTTCAGTTGCTGCAAATTGTAACTAGTTACAGTTACAGAAACTAGTTTAGTTAAATTTTTCTCATCCCTGCTCCCTCCTCCCTCCTTATCCATTACGACTGGCTCGACGAATGGTTATCGGTGACGCCGCCGAGCCGCTGCGTCCAGAGCCACTTATTGAACGCGAAAAAAAAGGTGTGTGGCTGAGCAGCAGCAGGCAAGGCCGACCCTCCTCGCAGCAACGGGGTGGAGGCAGAGCAAGCGCATGCATGTGTTGTCTTACTCCGAGCCGCGCGCACATCGGTTAGAGTAATAATGTTTGATCGTGAAAGCGCTGCTGCTCAAGTCGAAAGGATAGATCACTTGACCTGCCGGAGGAGGAGGTCGGGACCTTTGCCCGAGCCTTCGCCTCCCGATGAGAACGTGACTGACTTGTTTTATGGCTTTAAGGCGATGGATGGAGCTATTATTGGAAGCTAGGCCTCAACTTGGTGTATTCACGTCCCCTGCTCACGCCTGCTCATGTTAGTCGCCGTGTGTGTCCGCGTGTATTGACGTCTCTGCATTGATTGCCAGGTCATCTTCGCCGTCGTCGTGGCCGCCGCCTCCGCCGCGCCCGGTTACCTGGGCGGTGGCCTGGCTTACGGTGGTCTTGGACACGGCGTGGCCCTCGCGCCCGCTCCCATCGCCGTGGCGCACGCCCCCATCGCCGTGGCGCACGCTCCCGTGGCCACCTCCTACGCCAACTCCAACCTCATCTCCAGGACCATCGGCGTCCGCACCATCGCCGCCCACGCCCCCGTCATCGCCGCCCCGGTCCACACCTCCGTCGTCGCCGCCCCCGTCGCCGTCGGTTACGGACACGGCGGACTCGCCCTCGGCGGTCTGGGCTACGGCGGTCATTATTAGACGCGAAAACAAAACAAAAAAAAAGACGAAAACAAAATCACCACACCGTCATCTCTTGTATTTATTGCACGCCCAGTGAGTGTTGTCATGTGTGAGAGTCGAGTAACAACTATAGCGAGTGACTGAAATAAATCGGAGACGATTCAGCCGAGTGTCGAGTTTTTTGCTCTTTTCCCTCCCGCTAATTGGCAGGGCCACCGCGCAACTCCCGGTTCGGCCCGGCCCGGCCCCGCCCGGCCCCGCCAGATCTGACCTTCCAGCAAGCAGATCAGGCAGTGCACTGCTCATAGTCAAGTGCGGCCCCTCGTTACGCCCTGGACCCGGGTCCAATAAGCCCCGGGACAGGTGCCGCTGCTGGACAACCCGTATGGCGGCGCGGACACTGAGAACATTGATAACTTGCTGGAGCCGCTCGGGCTGCTGGAGGGAGCAGGGGCAGGGGCCCCCGCCCTTGCCCGGCCGGGCGGGTGGGCGCGCGCGTGGAGCTGGAGCTCTTCTGGAGCTCTCTGGAGCTTGGCTGAGCTGCTCGAGCCACGCGTGCGGAAGGAGCCGACTTTATTGTCTTATCGGCTAATGGCCGCTTAATAAAATAGAACACGCCTCTTTAAAAAAAAAACAAAAAACAACAACTTCGGAGCCGTAGATGAAAGAACAAAACTATTCTTACGAGCTGAGTGACGCGCTGAGAAAAACCTATTCTTGGAGAATTAAGGTAGTAATTTGGAAACGATAATTTCAGGTTCGGACTATAGCACTTAAATTACATGTCAAGAGATTTTCTACCTAGGACACGAATAGATAAATTAGTCCATTGACAAGGGCATAGCTAAAAGCGCTCACCCAGAGAACCGTACTTGAAACAACTAAATAAGGGTCGGACAAAACAAAATTTCAATTCCTTTAAATCAACTACGATAGTTGTCTCATTTAAGGTCGACACAATCAAAACCAACTTAAGATGACTAAACCACTTAGTCAGTGCAATCAGAATGTTGTTGGTTTTGAATTTGGTCCCCACTAGAAGGTTCCCTAAGCGCGTGCTCTCACCCCCTCCGTCAACACTTTGGTACGTCGGGTCTCATCCTGAACTTGACTTACCCACCCTGAGGCGGGGACACGGCGGGACACGCGCGCGTGACACTCTTTTACGAACAACTTCCACGCGCACTCATTACAGCTCGTTTGCCGAACACCGCCGGCCGGACCCGCATGATGGCGTCTAGGCGTTGTGTCATACGCAGTTAAATGCAGGACGTGACACAGAAAGGGGCGGCCTCCAGGCTGGGCGAAAACGAACAGGGACCAACTGACCGGCCGGGTCAAGCGTCGCAGGGGACGGCTTCGGGAACTGAAAGTCGACACCCCTACACCGAGGGGGAGCACGAAACGCATGCAACTAGAGTTCGCAAACCCCAGTGTTGGTGTGGCGAGTCGGGAGCAGGGTGAGGGGCGGGGTGCGGACGTGGGGCGCTGCCCACCGCCGCGCCGGCTCAGAGCCAGACTTTGGGACCCCGGCGCGGCGCCTCGACCCTGAGCGTCGCTCTGTGCAGCGCTGCGCCCGCCTTCGCCCTTCACCCGAACGGGTGGACGGGACGAACCGACGGGCCGAACATCAGGCGGGCGGGGAGGACGGGCGGGGCGGGCTCCACGGGGCCCGGCGAGACGGTCCTGGAGGTGTGGCCGCGGGGAGGGGGCCAGCGGACGGCCCGGCCACTACCGGCCTGCAAACCGAGGTCTGTATAAAACAGTCTGCGGTTTTGGAGGAGGCATCAGTCGCATCCAGCAGCCGATACCAGACAACATGAACTCCCTCGTGAGTACCACAGATAGAGCAGCCCACGAGCTGAGAGCGTGTCCTCCTGGCGGACCCAATGTTTGACATTGTTGTTGTGTTGCAGATCGCCCTCCCCCTCTTCTTCGCCGCCGTCTCGGCTGGCTTCCTGGGTAGCCCCGCAGTGGCCCCTGTGGCGTACTCCAGCCACTCCACCTCCACCGTCCACGGCGCCCAGCTGGCGTACTCCTCCCCTGTGGTCCACGCCGCCCCCGCCGTGGCCTACTCCTCCCCTGTGGTCCACCACGCCCCTGCTGTGGCCTACTCCTCCCCCGTGGTGCACGCCGCCCCCGCTGTGGCCTACTCCTCCCCTGTGGTCCACGCCGCCCCCGCTGTGGCCTACTCCGCCCCTGTGGTCCACGCCGCTCCTGTGGTTAAGACCATCGCCCCCGTCGCCACCTCCTACCAGAACACCTACAAGGTGTCCCGCTCCGCTGTGGCTGTTGCTCCCGTTGCCACCTACGCTGCCGCCCCCGCCTACACCACCTACGCCGCGGCCGCCCCCGTTGTGAAGAGCTACAGCTACGCCGCCCCCGCTCCCATCATCAAGAGCTACGCCGCCCCCGTCGCCACCTACGCCGCTGCCCCCGCGTACTCCACCTACGCGGCCGCCCCCGCCTACTCCACCTACGCCGCTGCCGCCCCCGTCATCAAGAGCTACGGCTACGCCGCCCCCGCCTACACCAGCGCGTACGCCGCCGCCCCCCTTGCCCACACCACCTACCTGCACTAAGTCAAACCTGCTGTGTCGCGACTGATGCGAAAAAAGTTCCTATTTTTTCGATGCTCTAGCTAAATAAATTAATTAAATTATTACCGACAAGACATGTCTCTGATTTGATTCCAACGTCTTTTGCTACTCATCTGAATCTATAGATACTATTGTTCTGTTGTTTTCTCATCGATTATGACGGTTCCTTGCCAATAATGCCGATAAGAACCTCTCGGGTTCACCCTAGACCGCCCTAGACTTATCCCAGAGAAATATTGATCGGTTCGTATTGGTGAATCGTGAAAGGAAGCTTGGGCATTTTGTCTGTGTGTAAGGAAACTGAAATTCGTGATTTAACGTCGCAAGTGACTATGACTACACCTTTTTTTTATAAGGAGGCACTAGCGATAATTGCCATTCTTGATGAGGAGTTTGAGAGTTTACCCGACCGCTGAGTGCTGTGTTGTTTAGCTGATTTTAAATAAATTGATACTGGTGGTATCCAGAGGTGCTGGGAGTAACTGGGGTTTGTCTAAGCTGTCGCCATCCCCGGGCCGGGGGTCAGCGACGCAGAGTCGCAGTCATGCTGTGGACGGGGGTGGTTGGCGTCTGGCGTCGCTTGCCTGTCGCCGCCTGACGGACACTGGGTAGGCCTGCCGCACGGGCAGGCGAGCGCGCGGGAGGGCGGGTGACAAGGGGCCAGCCACCACAACCTTAGGGATCATCCAGGAAGTACGTCCGTACTCGTTGTTACGAAGCTGCCCAGTTCAGCCAATGCAAGCTCTCATGGCGCCTGGTAGGTAGGCAATATCTTGCCTGCAGTACACGCATGCACTGCGGGGTGGCCTACCCTGAGTTTCGCAGGCGCTCTGCTCCCGTTATTCTCCGAACGCAACTGTTGTACTCTCTGGGCGATCCCTGAGGCATCTTTTCTCAGAATTATTCCGCAAATTACAATAGCTAGGCGTGCTCGAGTTGTAGAAGCCGACAAGCAGCTCGACGGGCAGAGCCCAAAAGAGCAAGCTGGCTAAGTGAAACCGCGACTGGTGTCAGTACGCACACTGCTGGATGACTTATATTTTGGTAATGCAATTCGTCACTCATATTGATTGGCACCCCATCCCCATCATGTACAGAAGATCTGATACACCCAGAAAAAACATTTCTCCAGACAAGAAAAAGGCTCTAAAATATGACAACAGGGGTTTCGTCTTGATCCAAGAAAATGCTTAGGGGAAGTGCTTGGATCAAGTGCCCTGTTCTAAAAACGAAAACCTTTTTTATTGGTGCGAGAACTCGACGTATGCCTGCAGAAGTGGCGTATCTGCGGAGAGGCGCGCAACACTGGCGGATCTGCGCCGGCCCGGCCAACACTGGCGGATCTGGGAAGGGACGGTCATCAAAGGCGTATCTGCTTTTCGGCTGCCTGCACAGTCAACTTTGGAGGCCTATTGCTCATCGTAGGTATGTCGTACAGTATTGACTGATGTCTCATTGCAATGTTTATGTCCTCGTGATTGAGTTTTGATATCACTCAATACTATACGACATACCTACGATGAGCAATAGGCCTCCAAAGTTCACTGTGCAGATCGGCCGAAAAGCAGATACGCCTTTGATGACCGTCCCTTCCCAGATCCGCCAGTGTTCGCCGGGCCGGCGCAGATCCGCCAGTGTTGCGCGCCTCTTCACAGATACGCCACTTCTGCAGGCACACGTCGAACTGCGCTTTGGTTCAAGAACTGGATGGTGTTGTATCAAGACAAAAATCAACTCGTCATAGTTGAGAGCAAAATCACCAACAAACGAGAGCGTTTTTCCTTGTTTCGATAGATGTTTTTTCGGGGTGTAGTTTTTTTAGTGTAGGGGTATGATGTCAGTACAACCAATAAAAAAAATTCATAAAAAATATGCCCTGAACTAGACACCTTAAGAACACAACGAAATCTCTAATAAATCAAGCGCCTGGGGACTCGGGGTAGGCCACTGCGCAGTACACTGATGTACAACACCGTCAAGATATTGCATATCAGGGGCCAGGAAAGCTTGCCTTGGCTAAATGTCTCATATTGTCTGTATCAGCGAAAGATATGTGCACTTTCTTGCTGGTCCACTAATTAAAACTGCACGAAAAACATATTTATCATCACCCACATACTCCCCAACAATACCAAAAATGACAGCACGTAAGCCGTACGCCGACACCATCAGGGAGTCTAATTTGGACCCAATAAACCGTTTCAAAAAAGGGAACTGCTTGGTTTGACCAAGAAAAACGGAACTAACAGGCCGTAGGGTAGGAGCGTAAGTCCTGTGCCCAACACGTGTCGCACCGCACAAGGTCGTGTTTATTTTTAGCCATGTGTCGCAGAATAATAAAACGACGACACAAGTAAACGTAACTCTATGTATTAAGCTGTATCAAAACCAAAAAATTACCCCGCCAAACATTCGAATCCTGTCCCGCGAAGGGACCAGAACGATGAGAACCTGCAAAATATACATCTCAGGCATTGTTGGCGTGGCAATGACCTTAAAGGGTTCCCTAATTAATCCTCCAAATTCCCAATATGAGATAGCGGCTACCTCTAGCGCTCATTATGCAATCGTTCCGATTGATGGCAATTTCGCGATTCTCAGGCGGTCCGCTTAGTATCCGTCCGCATTCCCCACGAGGGCGATGATGGGCCAGAGAGAGAGAGAGAGAGAGAGAGAGAGAGAGAGAGAGAG